GGACAAGAGATTATCGAACACGCCTGGCTGAAGAGCGGCAATGATCACGAAACCGATAGTTCACTTATGGGAAATTCTGTCCAATCATTCATATACTGCTTATTATGAAAGTGCTAGAACTGTTATCCCTATTTTCCGTTATTATGCCAATGCGTTTGGTCCGCGGAACCGTAACATTTCCATTCTACATCTCTCTGATTGTGGCTTGAGATCTGATAGATTATTAGTTCTTCTAAACTACTTCTAACACAAGACACGATTCACTTCATAAAGTGATGAAACTTCGTCCTCTTCTAATCTTAACTCTAGTGTGGTTTTTTAACAGCGTCTTTTTATCTCCCTTCTATTTTCTCTGTTCATAAACAACCTCTCTCCGCTCAACTTCATTGTCGGCATGTATGCTGAAGACTTAGTGGCCGGGTGCACCTCCAACACTATTGACTGTTTCTTCTTCAAATTCAAGACCGTGTGAACTGCGTCGTTAGTTAGTTAGTACCTGACCCGAACTCTTATGTTTAATGCTTCCAAACGTATTGATGCACCCTTCAATCTCAAATTCGACTCTTTTATTGATCTACCACACGTTTTCGTTAACAGTTACAGTATTCCCAAGACGGACCCTGTTAAATACACAATCTCTATCCGATTCAGAGAATGTAGAATGTTTACAATAGTGTTTGTAAACTCTCTTTTTATGCTTTCAGTTCTAGGGAGCTTCCTTTCCCCCGAGTATGATTTTCAAATTTTTTATCACATGGGTCCTCCTGCATTGAATTTGCTGTTCTCTCTTATCGACTGGAAAGAAAACGATATCATATTAATGTCCACCTCCCATCCCAATTTAGTACCACAATCAAAAATATACTGATTGATTTTGCTGTGTGCACAAATATCGACGCAGTTGGAAGAAAGCTGATAGCATCTTGAATAGCCGAGATCATTGCTTGTACAACAAACTTCAGAAATCCATATAAAAACTCCTTACAGATCCCCGTTATAAGGCTCTTTCTGTGCGCATCACCAAATACAGAACCAACATCCTCTCATACTTTGCCCCGTATTTTTTTTTTTCTATTGCTCTCGGCACCAATTATGATTGCAGACCTGCCGGAATCTCTATCCAGTTAGTTGATTTTTTGGCTCATTATTATCATTCTATTGCTCGCAGTGTGCAATTGTTTTATTTTTTACTCTCTGTCTCTCTCTCTCTCTCTCTCTATACACCTTTGTTTTTTACTCATCCGTACTGCATTCTTCTCAGGAAAATCTCAATTCCTATTTGTTGATTCAACATCTGAGATTGTTCGGCAATTGATTTGAGTTACCTATGATTAAATGTGGCAAGAACACAACTTTAATATACGACGAATAGAGAAAACATTCAGAAGACATGACAGTTCCGTGCAATATACATATCTAGGTTGTTATTTTTTCGTGTTCCCGCGTAGATCCAAAGTGACCAGTATTCTATTAGAAAATCCGACAAATCAATCGTTCACTCTCCAACCTCGAATAACCAATCCGGATGTGTTTGCCCTACACTGGGGAGCTTCCGCACAACAGTTGGCTTCTGTCTCAGCCCAACTGACCACGGATTGTGAAGTGCGTAGTCGTGTGCGTTCCCGTGGTTCACCTACACGTTTCGATTGGGATATTCAATTGCCGACTGCACACCGCACTCCGGACGATCAAGCCCCATCCGATCCTAGCGTGTCGGGGTCACAATCTGTGATGGTGAAATTGGCACCCAAGTCACGTGTTCGCCTGGGGCTGAAATTCACACCACATGCACTGGGCGAATTGGAACATGACGGTCAAATCGAATTCGTGTCTGACGAGGCAAGTCTCTCTCTCTCTCGCTCGCTCGCTAGCTCTCTCGGTTTTGCCGTGTATTTTCACAGTCTACTGCAAATAAATTGAATAGACCCGTAGGATGGAGGTTGGATTATCTGTCTATTTTTTAAATAAACACAAACCACAAGGTCAGTGCCATTTTCACTTCGTTGAAGATCTTCCTGCTGCACTCAAACAATCCCCGCGCCAGAGTTCTTTAAGCTATTTAGTTGTCTGAATCTCGATGATTTATGCACTTAAAACCGAACTATAGCTTACCTATTTTGATCGAACTTGTATGCCACTGTTCAATAGCAACCTGCTCACGGAAGGTAAGACCATTCCCCGGCTTGGCTACCCAACCGTCTCTTCTTCCTCTCTCTCCTGAGAGAGAGAGTGAGTGAGAAAGAAGTTATTCCAAATGCAGGATTTCGGAAAATGTTGTCCGTTCATTATCTTTAGTACTGTGGTTGATCAAAAACTGCCATTTCTGTTCTCCTATCTGCTGTCTATACTCACATTTCTGACCCCCAACGATAAACACTCGTCCCTTGACGGTCATATTGGAGCGTTGAACCAACACTAGCGGGAATCAAATTTGCTAAGGTGATCACATGTTGACACACTTGAAAGGTGTATAGGTCTCTCGCCCACTCTAACGGTTCTAGGAATGCATCATGCAATCACGAGGATGGAACAACCGAACAAGTCTTGTAAAACGGTGAACGGATACCTTGCTGACGGCCGTTGTGGGGTGTATCGGTCTCACCAATACATACGATAAATATTACAAACTAATGATAAATTAGTCGCTGATCAGATCGATAGAGCAAGAGAGTACAATTTGAGCAAGTCGTCACTACAAATGATCCAACCGGGTGGCACAAAGAATTTCAGAATGAGAGGGGAAGACGACTCTCGGCTGACTTCCAATAATGAGAACACATCAGTGTTGTACAATTACCGCGCTTCCATTAGCCACACACAGAACTATCCCAGTGATGATTCTTAATGCACCGGAAAGCGTATTGCATCCTTTAAACCTGAATTGCCTTTGACCAGCAAGCAGTTGGTTTTGCAGTTGAGTAAATATTACACTACTTTTCAATCAAATCAGTATCTTCATTGCAACCAAGTTGGATGCAATGCCTCAATCTGTGGAGGAGAACCAAAGGAACCCGACAAAATGTGCCGGTATCTGAATTTGAGCTGCAAAGCAGCAAAGAATTTGTCCGTAGCTAAGAAATTACCAGATACAGAAGGAGAAGAGTGCGTCCAGACTTTATCCATGAAAATCAAAAAACCATGTGCACAGGAAGAGCGAATACACAGCGAATTTACATGTTACTTCTCAAATGTCTGACGCTCTGAACGTGTCTGTCCCGACGGAAAACTGAATATGCAAACAGAGAATATTCCGGGATTGCACTAGGGAGATCGGTGGAAAAATTTGATCTCCCCAACAAATGCAGCATTATGCTGCTCAGATCCCAACGGCATTGTTTTAACTACGCAACTGATTATCATTATTATGGCGTCCATGTACGTTTCATAAATTGCAATCATTGTCACCCGCTAAAACTTAAGACACTTAGTTACGTTATGTGAGTATCAAATGAATCATCATGATGACTTCCTGACAGTTGGGATGGGCGGTTTCACAGACGCTACTCTATATCAGTTCAGAACGTTCAGAGATAAACATTTTACATCGTTATACGGCGATCGAGAATGGAATGTTAAAGATTTTATGTATTTCATGGTGTTCAGATCAAATATTGCATTCGATATAGTAACAATCCGGGTTGATAATCGAGATTATTTCCGTGGAGTGCTGTCTCGTAATATCCATGAGCTATCGATAATTACACATCGCTTCATAGAAATCGCAATATGCAAAAATCGGAGTCTATTTTAATTCTTATTTCAACTCTACTAATTGCAAACATTTTGTTCTCTCCAACCTCATTCCTTGTAATTATCTCTCTCTTATCTAGTTGTCAGTTTGGCTATTCAAACTTCGCGGTTGCGGTCTCCCTCCCGAACCACGAGATCCGGTTTACACGAGCGTGGAAATCGGTTCGGCGGTGACTTTAACTCTGTCCATGATCAACCCGTTTCGGCATCCGGTGCTATGTGATATCTATCTGACTCCGGTCAGTTATAGTGCGCTGCTGAAACGTGTCGAGTGCGCACACTCGACCGCGCTGAGTTCTCACCCGGAAGACACGAAACAACCTGCGTCAGATGAGAATGCCGATGAACAGGGAAGCCCCGAGAATAGTCGAGGATTTGAGTCGATGGATTTGAATAAACCGTTGGAATCGGCTTTCCAACTGTTAGTCAGAAGGGAAAAGTGAGTATGGTATATATTCTTGGTTTGAACATTCACCACCACGACCACCACCAGCAGCACCAACACCATCACGACTACCACGCTCATTCGAATAAGCACGGTGTCGAACCGGACCACAAAATATCTGCTCATCACCAAGGTTAGATGAATAAGACATGGTTCGAACAGCCGACCACTTGGGAAACAATAGCATGTCAATAACGCTTAGGTTAATCCATGTGACGATCAGCGTTAGACAAAAAGACTATTTTTTACCTAAGACTGCCTATTTTTCGAGTATTTTCAAATTTATTTTTGTAATAATTCAAACATTTTGGAGCTTTTTCTTCATGTTAATCGTCCACACCCAGCTGGCAGCCACTGATTGGTCCATTCTGTAAATTTCCTCATTTTTTGCAATAATTCTCAAGGTCTCTGTGGCCGGAGACTAGAGCAGTATATAAGCAGCCGATTTTTCCACTGTAAATTTAACTTGCTTCCTGTGTGTCAAGCACACATTCGCTGTGCACCATCTGTGTTCTTGCTTAGGTAGCTGGGAGAAAACTACTAGTGCTCGTGGTGTCCAGTCTGTGCTGTGATCGTACTCGCGGGGCTAGACGACTAGTGTGACCGTTGAGGTACATGCTCCGTAGTGTTCGGACCTACTTTGTGTCTCTGTGTGTGTTCACGCTCTGTGATATCGTGCACGTCATCCATGAGCGTCCAGTCTGTGTTTCGTCATTCATTGTTGATAGTGGGTGCCCCTATCATTGTGTTGTGTTGTGTTCATCGGTTCCACTTCGGACACATTGGGCCTCACACAGTTCTGTCACTGTGCATTGCCCTTCCGTGTGTCACCCTTGTGTCATCTTGTGCGCCATCGTGTGATATCTTGTGGTGTGTTACATTGTGATTGATTGGAAAAGACACGAAAATCACCATGGGATATTTCTATTAGCTCATGATCAATCAGTGTAGTTGACAAAGTTTTTTGTTTTAACAGCGTGAATTTAGTGACATTTGGATGCTGCGCTAACTTCAAGCGATTCCCCACATCGGTGCTAACTGGATTGATTAAGGCTTTTAAATTCCCTACTCGTGTGAATGATTCGGTCTGGATAGCCTGAAGTGACATCTGAGTCACTTTTTTATTACAAACCAGTGTGTGTGTGTGTGTGTGTGTGTGTGTGTGACGGGGTAAACCCCATAGTCCCGAGGACCTGCTGTTCAGTGGTGGAAACCCGTAACCTAAGCCCCGCTAGGTCAGGTGTGGTATGGAACTGGGTGACAGAAAAGCTGCCTACCACCAAAGTTGAGTGTCAGTGGCTGGGCCCGAACCTCGAACCATAGGGTCCAAAGCACATTGATGACAGCGAACAAACCAATACGCCACCACCACGATGAAGGACATATCAGTGAGTCAACACNTGTGTATTCGTAGCTAAAATGTGTACTTACGAGTTACTTTTTCTCCTCACTCCACTAATCTCAGTGCATATCCACTCCGAACCTCATCCTAACCGCTTATCATTGCTTCATAAATGCTACAATCAATCCAATCCACTTATCTTAACTTTTTGTACACTCAACATCCGCAGAGGTGTTCGCGTCGAGGCCAAGGCAGTATTTGATATTCCTCTCACATTCGCCCCAATGGAAATGCGTGAACACGAGGCAGTCTGTTGTGCTGTGATGCGACGTGTGGATGGACAGAGTTTGGGTCGCGGGATCGAGTCCGGCGAGGAGATTCACGAACTACGTTGGCTAACACCGATCAAGGTGAGTGAGTGGTCTATACGATGTGTCCAATAAATCACGACGTAAACATGGTGATCAGATGCACATTAATTTATGATTTGTTCGTGGGAGAAATAGTAACTGGTTACCCGAACGAAATCAGGTGACCTCCCACGATTCGCCCAATCACAACACAGTCTGATCCATTTTTGTCACGAAGATGAGCTCTCACGCAAAATTGAAGATAGTACTTTCAACATGTGACAACTATGGTGGGGATATTTAGAAAAAGCACCAATTAGGAAACCCTCGTTTTGCAACTCAAAATATAATCAATCTTTAGAAAAAAGACAGAGATTGTCACGGGAACAAGAACAGTGTATGACAATGTTGGTGTGGTTAAGTCTGAACACAGAAATTACCGCACAATGTGCTAGAGAACATCGCTGTCGAATTCTAGTTCACCAAAGACAAACAAGAGAAAACGGGCGCTGTACCTCATTTTGGGCAGATCCATGATTCAGAAAGACTCTCAAAACAATTTTTAAAAACCAGTTTAGGCGCTTGTAATGCTCATTATGTCGGATTCTTCTTACGGTGACGGATGATACGTTAGTTTTGAAATTGGTCATATAGCAGGCACTTTGCTTCCGCAAAATTTCTTGTTCGGGCTGCAGCTCCTAGCGTTATAATTCCAGAAGCCGGTACTGGTCCAGAATGTTCGCTGATTACAGATGGGACCTCAATAATTTGGAATACATAACACCAAAAATCTAATCAGAAACATGCCATCGTAGTTCCTGACCACACAATAACTGTAGCGATTGATAGTTATTGTTTGAGACTCAGCAAACTGCTCTCGGTGATCTTGTTGATTTTTGGTCGTTCAAAGAAATCACTACTCGCAAGTGAGTAGTATCGCACAACACTAGGAAATCCTCAAGATAAAAACCTTATTTTTATATTGACATTTCCTTTATTAGTAAACATTGGTCTATCCGTTGCATACAAGAAATCAAAATCATTGATTTTTTTGTTTCCTTAATTGTGGTACAGGGTGTACCTGAGGCTACGTCACAATTCACAGATTTTCAAGAAATCGGAGCTCTGGGTCGCACGTCTCTGCCCCGTCCAATCATCATGCCGACAGGAAGCAATCGACCAGCTTTGATCAGTGGGGTGGCTCGAACTGTGTCTCGATTTCATATTGAACTGAATTTGTCTGCTAATGTGCCACTCACTAAGTCCCAACAACCATTCAGTTCAGATATGTTAAGTGAGGACCGACCGTCACAAATCCTAATCCGGCCGGTCAGTTCGACACGATCTGGACCGATCTCGGCCAGATCACGTCTCCGGAGCAGTCCGTCGGAATGGGTTGGCACGTCGTCTTGGTGGACTCGGGCGGAGTCGGGTGATGTGAGCTGGAAACTGGAAGCTGTCACCCGGGAGCAGGATCGTGAACTAGCTGAACTGATCAATTTAGATCAGTTACTTCGAAAATCAATCAATATTCATCTTATCACATTAAAAAAAGAGAAACCGACAGGACCTATCGAACTCGTACTTGGTGTGATCTTTACACCATCTCGACCTTTCAAGTATGTTCGATTAACATGGATGTTTTTGACTGATACATATTTATGAATAGTATGTATAGATACATCAAAAACTGAAAGGATCCATCATGCGATTGATCCATCGATCAACCATTATACTCCCACACGTGTGCCCACACGGCATAATTTCCCCTCTCTGATCCTTTCTGTGATCTGAGTGGATAATTCTTCAAATTTTATACAATCTGTTTAGTCATGAATTCGGAACGTTCATTATATCTCCATTGCCTACTGCTGTCATTCGTGCGGTTATAGCACCCGTACTGTGCAGTTGTAATCTAGTGCTAATACTAGACACGCAAAACGAGCCCTCTCACTAGTCTGAATATACCTGGTCAGGGAGAATTTAGAACACTCCTCACTAGAACAGGCCGTTTGAATTTGGGCGTCATCGATTGACAGAGCAAGTTAAAACATAAAACATTGCATTGGTCAATATTCATGAAGTTAACAAGCAGAAAAGTCTCGTGCAATCAGATGAGAGTGACCTGATAAGGCCTGATTTGAAATCACGCTAGTCCGCCACTCTTCTCAAAGGTTTAAGCAATACAAGCTGCTAGAAACTCGTTTATTAGAGCTCAAGATTGTCTGGAGTTTCGTCGAGCAAGATTTTTTTTTGTAGGTCTTGATCGGAGTGCTCAAATCCACCAGAATTTTGTCAAAATTTATACGGTCCACTCATAAACCAATAGTTTTAAAACCAGGCGGTCATTGCGTTGATTCGTATGACTTGCTTCTAGGTCCAAGGTGATTAGTGTGTCCAATCCAGACGAAATTTCCCACGATGAATTTATACGTAACTGTTCCATCCGGTTTGGCAATCTCTCTGGAAGTTCAGCTCTTCAACTCACCGAGAAAATTCAGCGCATGATCTTGAACTTCCACCTTAAATACTCGTAATCTATCATCACTGTGTGCAGGAGTTTGTGAACCACCGCTGTCTCAAATGATCATAATCGCATCGTATAGCTTCTTGAATCGATCCAGTAAGAGTTCCACCAGGAACTCTGGGGTATCCAGATTTGGGATCGAATGGTACATAAGCAGGACAACATAATTCGATTGTTTTGTTTTACTCTTCCTGTGTGATTTGATCAGAGTGCGCGTAAATGTATCAGCATGTATTTTTGATCAGATGCTCGACTGCGGATGATCCAATTGAGGACGACCATCAAGAATCTCATTTGACGCACAGCACACTGTGATTTTTTTAAGAACTAAACGACCAGGTCATTCGCGAAATCGGAAACACGCGACTGAGTAAAACACTCAGCTGTGGTGCACATGTACTTTTATCCTGTGAAATTTTGTCACTTATCAAATCATGATCACAATTTACAATCCCATTCACCAGTCCCCGTTCCCCATTCCACTCGAACGTCAGTGCCATTGGTGAGGAAAACCGACCGTTTTTTTTTAATTAGCCTATTCGGTTTTTGACACAGGTACCGAGCACTGTTGATGATTTTGATTGTACGTTTCACTCCTTGGGAGATCGGTAATTCCCCACGAGATAAATACAGTTAAACGCAATGGATTTCAAATTTATTACTCTTAATTGCTTGTCAAATTACTGTCAAATGACGAACACTGCCTGCATGCCCATCTCGATAAATCGGTGTATTATTCGATTACGCGTTCCAAATATCGGATTCTTTATGCACGCACCATCACATATAAAAACAGCTTGATCCTTTATTTTTTCTCGTATCTTGGTCAACCGAGCAAATATTATTACTGACTGTCACATTAGGATTTTATCACATTCGTTTGTTTTTCATTTAGTTAATGTACATATCTTCTTTTTCCAATACTTAGCGTTTTTCTCACTGTAACTTGTCGAAAGTGCTGAAAATTCATCCTATTGGGTGCATAAAGCTTTACTTGACTTGACTTGTTGTCCAGTCCATACTTTGGATTGTGAGTTATGCGCATTACATATGAAGCCGCAAAAGCAACTACAGCTCTCCTAGTTGCGTTGCCTGCATTGTATTCGATTATCACGTCAGTTTTACTGATATATACGTGAACGTAGACCAAATCAAGAAAAATTGACCTTTATTGATTGAAGTAACCAGTGCTTGTGGTAAGCATGGCTTCAATCAGGCCTCTTCGATATACATATTCCACTTCATTGTAAATCATAAATAACCGACTGTTAATTAATGTCCAAGTGACAAATTGTACCCATTTCTAAAAGGCGTAAAAAACGTGCTTGGTTCGTTTAGGCTGTGATTCGGTGTCTGTTTGTGGCAACATATTTGACATATTTATGCTGTTCCTCGTGAATTATTCGTTTAACGGTTTTTCACATCGAGAACGAGTACACTTATCTTAAGATCAATGGTTATCGAAATTGAACCACCATTTCTCGTTTGGCAATTACTCCTTTCCCGAATCCCAGTTACCACTTGCGGACACACGATGAACAATTGGTGAGGCCTTCTACAAGAAAAAATGCTACAGTCATCCTTCTTTTGACACACATTTGTGTGGTGAACAGCAGACGGGGCAAACCCCATGGTCACGAACACCTGCTACTCAGACATGGAAACCGGTAACCTAAGCCCCGGGACTTGAAGTAGTGAACCACATAAGGCCCCGCTAGGTCAAACGTGGCATTGAACCAGACGACAGCAAAGCTGGGTGGCGGTGGTGGGGCTTGGACCATAGGGTCCAAAGCACGCCTGTAACAAAGATTAAACCACTGCGCCCCCACCATTTGTTCTCTACCCATTCGTCATTTCGATGCTCTTTGCTCGTATGAGCACAAACCATTTTGAAGTGTAGTCCATACCGGGTTTTGCAAACCTACTGTATGAACCCATTAAACTCCGAGATTTTGTGCATTTAATTCTGGAAGTGGACCCTTTGGGGCTTACTATTCGTATTGTTACTAGTTTCGGAATTCTGTAGGAACACTTATGAGTCACTGCGCCTAAATCGAAAGAGAGTTAAAGGATCTTTCATTCTATTTATCGTTCCCAGGTTCTCACGAAATGTTCACGTCGATAGAAATTATGGATGGGTACAAAGCCGATGAACGCAGTCTGAATACCGGGGGGAAAACGTGCAGCAATATTTCGGCTAGTAGTTTTTTTCATGGCTACTTCAGACGAAATTTGACCATGGTGACTGTTTGGAGTGGTTGATCAGTAATGACTGTGCTTTTCGTCAGGACGTTGGGATACCGAGTCCGCTTGTAGCAGTTGCCCGTTTATGTTTGTTCATACCACGCGAGGAAAGAGTCGATTGATAAGAAGGGCTGTCGCAACGCATGTTTCAACCACAGGGACATAAGTCTGATTCCAGTAGCGCCGAAGCTGCTGGCGTCCGTTTTATTACGCAGGCTATTCCGTGAGAAGCAAATCCTCGAGGAGCAGGCCGAGTTTCGTGCACACCGTGGCTGCATAGATCAAATCTTCACCCTCCGTCAGCTACTAGAACACCGCCACGCACACACGGCAAACCACTGTCGTATTTTCAGAGCGGATTTCGACTCTATCGGTCGTACTGCACTGTGGAACTGTTTACGGAGATACGGAGTACCTGAGAAGTATGTTTCACTCCCAAAAGCGCTCCATCACCAAACTTCGGGGAAGGTTACGGCCTATGGTGAACTTTCACCCTCATTTCCTGTCAGCACTGGGGTACGACAGGGTTGCTATATCTCCGTTTCTCTTCAACTTTGCCATATATGATGTTCTCCAAAACGCGTTATATAACGTAACAAACGCTGGCGTGTAGCTTCTTCTTGAAGTCAGAGGGGTAGACTTAGAGTATGCCGATGATATGGCCTTACTCGGTGACAACGCACCAGTAATTCAGTAGTCGGCAAACCGTTTGGCAATTGATATTATTTGCTATGGTATGTCCTTTGCACCTTCAAAGTGCAAAGCGTTGTTGCAAGATTGGCAGGAACCCATTCCTGCACTTTCGTTGGGTAATGACACTCTGGAAGTAGTCGAAAGCTTTGTCTACCTTGGAAATTGCATGACGGCTGGCGGAGGTTTAGGTGAGATCTCTCAACGCGTGATCAAAGCTAGATTAGCGTTTGCTAATCTGCGGTATCTCTGGCGACGGCACGACATACCCCTCTCACTGAAAGGGCGTGTGTATTACACAACGGTAGGCACCGTGTTGCTCTATGGCTGCGAGACCTGGCTTGTCCGAGCAGATCACGTCTAACGACTATCCGTATTTGATAACCGTTGCTTGCGCAACATTGCCCGCATATGGTGGGAGCGTCGCTTGAATAACGATGAAGTCAAACGACAGGTGCCAGGATCAGATAGTCTTCCTTTGAGCAAAATAATTTCACAGCATCGTGGTGGCTAGGGTACGTCCTACGAATACCTGACCAACGTCTGCCACACGGTGCACTATTCGCAGACATCGCTCCAGGCTGGAAGAAACAGTAGGTGCATAGGCTATGACGTGGTGCAGAGGGTTGAAGAGACCGTGCTCGGATCTGGCTTCCGTTGGGGTTTACCGGCTCCCCAGCTGGGGTCCCAAAGATTCAGACTATCTTTGGCTGGAGACACTGCGGGATATGGCATCGAACCGAAATCAGTGGCGTGAATTCATCTTCTACTGTTTGCAATAATAAACAAAAACAAGAAACTCAAGGCTGCATGCAGTAAACAAACAAAAAGGTTGTTATTCCCTCTAGTTGACTGTTTTCTTTTCCCGGCTTCTGTACCCATATTTTTCATTAACCCATGGTTATTTTTATGCCGTATCTGTAAAGATTGGCTATATA